CTAATTGTGCTACAATGACAAGAAAAGGCAAATACTTATTGCTGTTCTTGTTTGCAGCTATGCAGCGTGTTGTGATTTTCTTCAGCACAACAATCTCCTGTCAATAATTCGTGCTCACGAGGCGCAAGATGCAGGGTATTTATTTTTCTGTAAACGACTAACGGAATATCATCCGTCTTTGCATAATTGAAAATTTGTGGTTGGCTCAAGCGAAGGCTTAAACGTAAAGCTAAAAGCCACAATTTCGGCCTAAAACCTAGGCTGAAGCTTTTGCTTGGCCCTAACCTTACGCCCACACTTTTGCATTCAACAACAGAACGATATGTTCCAGTTTTATATGGTCTATATAGAAGCATCAACCATCTGTTGTGAGCATTCTTTCAGTTATCGTATGTACCGCAAATCTCAAGCCACTGGATTCCCATCACTGATTACCATATTCAGCGCACCGAATTATCTTGATGTATATAACAACAAAGGTTTGTTTCTTTCATCGTCATTCATGACAATAACGTTTCCTTTTCAATTCGAAAACAGTCGAATTTCAGCGGCAATTTTGAAATACGAAAATAACGTGATGAATATTCGACAGTTCAATTGTTCACCTCATCCATATTGGTTGCCAAATTTTATGGATGTTTTCACATGGTCATTACCGTTTGTTGGTGAGAAAGGTTTGTTTTTAATTTTTTAAATGTTTTGCATTCATTTCTATTTATTATTATTGTTATAATAATTATTATCATTATTATCTTCTGCTTTATTTCTCTTGATTTTGTTTTATTATCATCTCTTGATTATTTTTTAATTTCAGTGACCGAAATGCTTGTTCATATCTTAAACATATGTTCAGACGACGAATTAATGGCCGATTCGGACGATACATTTGAAGGTATAGTTTATTTTTGAATGAATTTAAATATTTTTCGATAAAAAAGAGTATTCGTATCTACTTATTATCGTTCTTGGTTAATTGTATCGTTTATCCATTTCTACAGCTTTGTTTCATTTTCTTTGTTAGTGCACATGTACATTAGGAATGAGACTAGAAGGGAATGTTGAAGTAGTCTCATTCCTAATATTTATGAATATATTCAAAGAATGGTTGTAGCTAGTTTCTATTAGATAGTTGCTTTTACTGAATAATGGTCATTGCTCTGTTGCAAACGTTGATTCATTCATCTAGCATCTATATAGCTAGTTCTATCCGAGTTCATAGCGTTTTCTCAATTATATTTTGTTTTTCGAATTAATGCCGACTCAACACGCAATCTAATTCTTTTTTCCATGCGGAATATTCTGTAGAGTGAAAGTGGATATGACCATCGTATAGATTGAAAATAATTTTTAGTGGTAATTGATTTGTTCATTTGATGAGCACAGAGTCTGCTTATGTGAACTGTCATTTCAATGAATATCGCTGTTTAAAACTTCAAAAGATTTTTCATTGTGAATGGCGACAAGAGTTCGATGGTGGAAGATAATAGGAGATAATTGAATTTATCTCTTTTATTATCAGTTCAAGTTGAATTTGTTTCATTCGATCCTCTTTTTTTTATTAGCCATTTGCTCAACATCTTAATTAATCATTAATCAACTCTTTACGAGTTTATGCCTGCCTCTCTCATCACATTGTTCCTTTCTTGACATCCTTCTTTCCGTGCAGCTAACGATATTAGCGTAGGAAATCATACAAATTCTGATTGGCCTCTAGGTGGAGGGTCTGTCTCTGAATAATAACTTAGACGTACATTTGTTTTGATCATTATTATACAAAAACGAATGTAACTAAATGTAACAAATTATGTGATTTCGAAAGGACAGAAGATGCGGAATGCTTGAAAGCCAGCCATCTTAGAATATAAGAAGAAATAAGATTGTAAGTTTAGACTTGTTTGTGATTATAGAGAGTTGATTAATTCAAAAGGTATGAATGAGGTTGCGAATGAAAAGAGGATTGAGTTGATGGAGATGTTTCTAATTTGAATATGTTTTGATAAAGATAGGAATTTATTGATATGATTGGCGGAATGGGATGGATTGAGTTAAGAAGGCGACAGATATACTTTCGCTCGTTTTGTGAGGAGCATTGAGCTTGGAAGTTGGATGTGCATGGTTTATTGAAGTGGATTTGGTGTAATTCAGTTTGATTCGTTGATCTGTATGGATGAATGGATGGATGAATGAATGTATGTATGTATTTTGTTTCAATAGCACACTACTAATTCGTTGTCTTTTCATGTGCTCTCTCAGGTGCCGAAGGTGAGTTTCATTTTGATGTGCATTATTTATTTGTTGTTATTATTATACTTTATTTATTTATTTGTGTTTCATTTTAGTTGCTTCATCAATACACGCGCTGTTGCTGTTGCTAGTATTTCAGTCACTCTTGTAACTCATTGTATCATACTCTATGGACCACCCATTTAGTGTCATATTTGATTGTAACAACTATGTGTAGTGATGATTAATTAGGCAAATTTTGATTCGTTTATACATATTCCTTTGTATATTATTTTCATGAAATCTTCCTAATTTGCATAGTTTTAAAACTTAGTTTATGTGCAGAATTGTTACTGAATACAGGGGAATGAATTTAAGTTTCGATTTTGGAATGGAAATTAATTGTGAACTAAAATTAGATGCAAATTTGATATAGCCGAAAGAATATTATGATTTGAGTGGGACAGTCATGTTCTCTTTCATCTTTCTTGATTTCATAAGACATTCAATGTACGTTGTTTACAAACTTGTGTAATCCAGCAGAATCAAGTCAAGTGCTACTTGAAATGAATAATGTTTTTAGTAGATATAAGCAAGTGCAAAAAATGTAAGAAGTTCTCTTAATAGATGAATAAACTAATGTTTAGACTAGTGTGTTGCGAAGACGAAATTTGCCGTCATGGACTCCGAAAATGCGGTCGCCTTGAAAAAATTCGGAGACGACGAGTTAAAGGACGAGTTAAAAACTCGATCCCTATATTTTCTCCGAAAATGTACGCTTGAAATGGAGTCAGTAGAAGCTTGAAACCAGAAATATGAGTTGGAAAAGCGTCGAAGGATAGTGAAGCAATGTGTAGGATAGAAGAGAGATAAAAGCAAAGTCTTAATGGTTTTTTAACGGTATTATTTTAATAAAGCACACGAAGAACTAAACATTACCTTTGGCAAGAAAGATTAACATTCTGAAATGACAATAACTTAAGTTTATTCTTGTCCACGCTGCAGAAATCATATGTGGTTATAAATGAAAATCGCAATTCACAAAAACAGATCAGTGGAAAGTGCCATTTTCTCCCCATGAGAGTGACATAATCACAAACATTTCTTTCTTTTGAAAACAAAAAGTAACTACCTTTCTTACTGTCGTCACGTAATGTTTTCATTTTCTTTTCCAGCATGTCTGCCTTTGTCATACGTAAGTGGTTAAGAAGGCATTTTGTTGATGACCTTCAAAATGACCTCCTTTCCGCATATCGAATAAATGCACTTTACATCATTTTTGGTTTCCTCTCCCAAATCCAAACTACTTTCACTCGGAATAAACCTCCTCTTTGTTTGCCCAGTGAGCCGTTGCATCACAGACATCCTCCCAGCCGCACCAAACGATTATATAGCGCTACCGAACAGTTAAACTTGAAAATTCGCGCAATTTCCACATGAGATCGCAGTAACGTATAATATTGTTGACGAATTTGGTTGAATTCTCCACCTTTGACGCTTTGATGTGATTTTATTAATTTCCGGGAAACTTTTGAAAACTTTTG